TTAGCTAACAATGAGTAGTCAACGGATAGCAATTATTCCCTAAAGGAAAAATAATATGCCTAAACTATTTCTAAATGCCACTTTAGCATGACACATAACAGCCACAAGCCGTACCCTGCATACCACAAGATATAGATATTTTTAAAATAATTTATACAACTGGTTGCTATTCCTGAGCAAATCCCCTTGAGTCCTCTTCACCCCAGTGTTCTAACCGCTTCCCTACATAGGGGTCCATTCATTGACGAGGCAGCCAGGTCAGTGGGCTGTGTTAGCCCTGACTTGTTCCATTAACCCCTGCGCTAGGCTAGCAGACAGCTGATTTCAGACAGCCAGTATTATAGTGGAGCTGTATTTTCTATGAATGAGCTTCCAGACTCCCACTCCTCTTAAGCGATGAGTCATCCATTGGCCCTGTGTCCTACAGTATGTCAGTGGGCTCAGCTGTTAGGTAATGGAATTTGTTTATATTTAGCGTACCCCCACATGCCAGGGCACACACACACACACAAACCAGAGGAGCTATAGGAGGACGGGCTCATTGTAATGGCTGGAATGGAATCAATGGAATGGTACCAAACACGGAAACATGGAAACAATGTGTTTGACTCTGTTCCATTGATTCCATTCCAGACATTATAATGAGCCCATCCTCCTATAGCTCCTCCCACCAGCCTCCTCTGCTACAAACACATACATATCTATGAAAGTAGAAACAATGTAATAATGCAACAATCCCAGCAATGCAACAAAACAAAGTGCAGTACATCCTCTGAGGTTTTAGGGCTCTGCCTTAATGAATGAGCTTAACCAAAAAATGCTCTATTCAGAATCTCTGGCACAGAATGTACTGTGCATCTGTTTATTTTGCCACTTAAGTGCCCCTCATTTGTGCACTTAAATTGAGACTCATGGAGAACTAAGTACTGTATTAAAGCAGTTAGAGATTTCACATAAAGTTCACAGGGAATATCCATCATAGATTGGGTACACACACGAGATCTCCCCTATCATCATGCACATTATAAACCCTCACTGTTTGCTTGATTGAATGATAGCAGTCCATTATTTTTCACCATCTGCAATACAAAGCCCGCTAACACTCCACTTGAATGTCCTCTTAAAGGCCTATGATGAGGTGGGGAAGTGGTCCTAATGGTATGCATGCTGGAGGAGTGACACAGGCTCTTTAAATGGCCAGCGGGATCAGAGCCTGTAAACTCAGTGGAGACTGGGGAGGTGTCGAGATGAATGTCCCTGTCGGAGGGGCTAAATCTTCTTCATACCACTGGCTAGTAGCAGGTCCCACCTCAATTTGGAGCTGGGTAGAGATAAGTCCTAATGGCACTGTCTCCTGGGCAGACTAATTTATCCACAGGCTAGAGAGAAGCAGCTCTGATATTTTCCCTCTGGCACATGTTGTTTGTGTCACTGCACCATCTCTGTCTGTGTGTGTATAATGTACCATCGTGTATGTGTGTGTGTGTATGTGTGCGATTGGATTACAAGGCACTAGATACAGAAAGTATCCACCTATCCTATATTTCGTGTTACTACAATAAACCTTACATCCAGATAACAACCCAACCCCATATATCTACCTCCCAAGTCTCCTAATTAGTCACAATAATCTAGCAAATACAATTAGCCAGATAAGATTGTTACATCAGTGCCTCCCTGTGGTTCTCCTAATAGCAACTAGTGGGCTCAAATCAAGCCTTTATTGAGGATTTCTAATCTAAGCAACCTAATGATTACTTCAAATACAGGTTATTTGATTTGGGTTCAACTCGAGAAAATGTGTGTCTCTCTAAATCCACTGTAAAGAGTGGCTCCATAATGGATTCAGCCCACCGTTCAGTGGTTGTTGGGTCTCCATAGAGATCAAAAGACAGACTTATAAATGGCAAATGATAGAGGGCATAGCTCAGACACATACTGTGATCACAAGATGTTTGAAGTTTCTCTCCTTCACCTGCGTTTCAACCTCTGTCCATTTTGAATCAATGAGGCTACTTACTCTTACAATTACTATAGGCCCGCCTCTGTGTCCTTTTGTCTACCAGGGATAGTATGTATCACATTCCCCTTGAAATAACGGTTGAGTCACAGATGCAATAACACATAGGCTGTGTGACTGGCACAGCACGTAATACTTTGTGACTGAAATACGGTGGGTAACCCTGACGATCTCAGACGCTTTCCTCACTTTACCTTTTTCACCAGAGGACACAAACAGACATTGGCCTCTTCTATTGCGCTTAGTGGTTGTTATTCACACTTAGCTTGACAGAAACATCGGTATAGATTGCATTGTTCTGTGTTATCCTAAGTTGTTTAACCAACGGAAAGTTGCAATTTGCAAACAAAACGCTTCATCAGATTTTAGCGCTAGCTCCCAAACCTCAGGAGCAGATTCTTAGCGTTATTTCTCTCTCAGTAATTACTCACAGGCTATCTAATCTTAACTCAATTTAACCAATTAAAGGCCTCTTTCCATTACTGACAATGATAATAATTTAAAGGCAGCATGCAAAACCTGCAACACAAAACGAGATAGCCCTGCCTTATAGCAAGGACGGTGTGTTGTATATGTGTGTGTGGTGTTGTGTGTGTGTGTGTGTGAGAGAGTGACAGCTGTCTGTCACTGTCCTATGGCCTCCACTGGGCAATAATGAGCAGACGACCCCCCCCCCCCCCCCGACACTACAGCTGCTGTAGCCCCTCACACACACTCGCGCACACACACACACACACACACACACACACACACACATATGCTTGCACACACGCACATACAGATCTAGCCTTTAATCACAGAAACAGGTTCACGTTTCAAGAGTGCATCCCAACACACTAACAGGAACATTTTAGGATTTGAAATGCTAATTGATGCAGAATAGCTCTGGTTATAGCTATATTGTTTTGAAGCTGCTCTTGAACAAGCATGCAAACTTTTGATTGGGAACCATTTGTCATTCTGTCAGTTGATGTGAGAATAATTGCTGAGTTAGTGTATAAGACAGTACATTTCATTTCTCATTATCCATAGTGGGCGAAGATAAATTACTATAGTGTACACATAATTAGCAGTTACAGCTTGTCAGTTGAACACAAATACTATATGCATAATGCTTTAACCTGAACAAAGCACCTATAAATCATCATAAAACATAACAAAATTCGGCGACAAGGGATTTTCATTCCATGAATTCAATGCTCACACACATCCCCACATGGACCTGCTTGCTGATGCAGAGACTAACTCAAACTGAATCTAGTAAGTAGATCAACTCCCTCTGAACTGATGCTGTCTGAGCTGTAGTCAGTCGAGACGTTTCTACACTTCCATCAATATCAACTTCTAGCCCTTTCAGCCGAGTGGGGGGGGGGGGGGCCTGATTGCAGATTTGGCCTAACGCATAGTCTCTATGGAAACCTGTTGGCATGTAGCAACGCCTGGAAGGCTTTACTTGGTTCTCACGGTTACAAGCTGCTCTCTGAAATAGTGAGGCCAGCCTAAATGACAATCAAAACCGCACTGCAGAAATATTGTCCCCTATTGCATTCCCTGTTATTATGACACAGCTTTTTTCATTTCAGTTCATTGATTTGTTGTTGCCAAGTGACAATTTGATTGTTTTTCAGAATAGTTCAGAAGTATTACCAGTAGAAGCAGGTAATTGTGAAGCACAGAGAAAAGGGTTCACAAAGGTAGAGGAAAATGGGAGGGGAGGAAACCTCTTATGGATGAGGTATGCACAGTACTTATTATGTCAATGAGTGCCAAGTTATGCATTCTATAGGCTGTGTAAAGAAAAGGTATAGTCACACGTTCAACTGTAAACTGGTCACTTAGCGCCCTCTAGTGATTGTCCAGACTACTGTCTCCAGGATGTACAATACAGCCACCACATGATGCAACTCCAGCTAAATAACTTCTCAGTAATGCAAGTACAGCTGATAATAATATGTTTGTTAATACTGTTTAGCACTAAAATTGGTTGAGTAAATTATACCGCCTCATATAATGGATTGATATGTATTATCTACAGTACATCATTGCCATTGAGTACCATAGATACCTCCATTCTATCTCCTGTTGATTGAAGGTGGATGGCCCCTGAGATGCCTGACTATAAACACCCATCAATGGAATGCCATCTATCACCCAGAGGGTCAGTTAAGATGGTGTGCTTCATCGAAATAGAATTCTGGATTATGGGTACACCCAATATGGCCGCCAGTCCACCCAACAGCCACCCATTGACTTGAATTGGGATACCCCTTATAGGAATTTGATATATTTCTATGGTGGGCTCCTTTAACCCATAGTTAACTCCTTCTGGCCAAGACTATGTAGGTCAATACAACTGCATCCCCCATCCTCAGCATGGCAGAGACTCAATTAGCTCTTTATGGTTCCATCTGTGTCACACCTGTCTGGCACGAGCCACGTTTCAACCCTCAGAAATGGACCAAGACAAACAAATAAACATTCATGATGTGCATGTTAATGTAAAAAAAAAACATTTTGCAATGTAGTACACTATCCTTTGGCAAGATGTCTTGCATATGACTGTTTCAGTAACCCTCACAGTAGAAAGAGAGGAATTTAACTAACAGCTACAAAGCATGCTTAGGTAGAATAAAGACCAGAACTGCACCAAACATTCACACATTTTATTAGAATCAATCAAAACTGATCTGTGAATACGATATCAGTAATCATATACCTCGTGAAACATAGTCAACAAAGGAAGTTACAGTCTGTGCAAAACCTGTAAATACATTATGTAGGCTGATCAGTTACAGACCTGCTTAGCTAACTTTATACTGTAGACCCCCCCCCCCCCCCCCCCCAAATAAACAAAGAAAAAAACAAGCAGGCCTATACCCAATCCTCAGTAAATATGATAAAGCAGAAGCAGGTGGTTGTACCTAAAACGGTCCAAAGACAGCTAGACTAATCTGATAATGTTGGGGTCGTTGCTGTGTGACTAACGTAACTTCTTCGCCCCGCGGGTTGCCTTGGCCACCTTGGAGCCCCTCTGGTGGTCGCTGACGCGGTTCCGCAGCACGTTCACGTCGTACTTCTGCCTCTTCAGCTTCTCGGCCAGGTCAAACTTCTCAGCGTGCAGCTGGCGCAGCCACTGCCAGAGCTCACGGGACTTCTCCGCCAGCCTCTCCTGGTTGAGGTGGTCGATGTTGAGGGGCTTGCGGCGTTCCAACAGAGCCTTGGTTTTCTTCTCGCGCCCCGTCAGCTTCTTGCACTTCTTCACGTCCCCCTTCTGTATGTAGCCGCCGAACGCCTTGTTGGAGAAGACCTTCTTCTTCCTGGCATCCTCCTCGGCGCGGAGCTTGGCCTCCTCTTCCCGGCGGGTCCGCTCCTCAGCAAGACGGGCCTGGCGCTCAATGTTCTGCTCGGTGCGCACACGCTGCTGCTCGGCACGGTCGGCACGGCGGCACTCGATGCGGTTGCGGAGGGCCACAAGCTCCTCCTCCTCTTTCTGGCGGCTGGAGAAGTGCATCTCGATCAGGCTCTGCAGGTCATTGAAGTCCTTCTCCAGCCTCTTGCGGTGGAGGTCATCAAAGTCTACCTTCTCGCCGTCGGGCAGCTTGGGAGGAGCGATGTTGGTAATGTACTTGGTCCGTGGCTTGTTCTCCCCCTCGCTCCCCTCCACGTGTTCCCTCTCCTCCTCATCCTCCTCGTCCTCCTCCTGCTCTTCTTCAGCCTCCTCTTCCACCTCAGGTGCCTCCTCTACTTCCTCCTCCTCGTTCACCTCCTCCTCCTCCTCCTCCTCCTGCTCGTATTCCTCCACAATATCCTCTGTGTCAGACATGATGTTAAGCCTGCCTCTGAAGTCAAGGAAGAAAGAACTGCGGAGAGACACACACAGAGACCAGCTGGTATCCCAACAGTCAAGAGGCAAAGTGAAGTGAACTTTCTGGCGCGGCTGCTTGGGCTCTTTAAAAGGTTTACCCTGATCATGTGACCAAACCCCATTGTCTAGCAGAGATGTTCAGACAGATGGAATGGAGTCTATTTTCTCCTTCAACAAGTCTGCCCCCTCCCCTGAACCCCGACCCCAGACTCTCCCCATCATTCCTTTCTAAGTGCCCTATTTCAGACGCACAACAGATGCACTCAGATGCCACTCAAACCTGTGCTCTCCTTCAAGCCCAAAATCAAATGTATGCCTCATGCTCACAGCATGATTGTTGGAGGCATCAAGTGAAGTTCTTACTCATATACTATGAGGTTATTTATACACTTGGTCATCAAGATGGAGAAAAAGTACATGGTAAATACACCCATAAAAAAAAATCACAGTGATCAAATAATCTAAGAGATTAAGTGTCCTAATTTGAGTTTAGAAGAGTGAAGAATAATATTTTAAATGGTGGAATGGTCACTATCAATAAATATATAATGGTCACTATATAAATAAATATATAATGAATGGTCACTATATCAATAAATATATAATGGTCACTATATCAATAAATATATCATGAATAGTCACTATATAAATAAATATATAATGAATGGTCACTATATCAATAAATATATAATGAATGGTCACTATATCAATAAATATATAATGAATGGTCACTATATCAATAAACATAATGAATGGTCACTATATCAATAAATATATAATGAATGGTCACTATATCAATAAACATAATGAATGGTCACTATATCAATAAATATATAATGAATAGTCACTATATCTATAAATATACAGTGTCAGTCAAAAGTTTGGACACACCTACTCATTCAAGGGTTTTACATTTACATTTCAGTCATTTAGCAGATGCTCTTATCCAGAGCAACTTACAGTTAGTGAGTGCATACATTATTATTATTATTATTTATTTATTTTCATACTGGCCCCCCGTGGGAATCGAACTTGAGGTCGGGGGGTTGTGGAGGCCTCATCTGATGCAGCACTCCATCACTCTCCTTCTTGGTCAAATAGCCCTTACACAGCCTGGAGGTATGTTGGGTCATTGTCCTGTTGTAAAAACAAATGATAGTGCCACTAAGCGCAAACCAGATGGGATGGCGTATCGCTGCAGAATGCTGTGGTAGCCATGCTGGTTAAGTGTGCCTTGAATTCTAAATAAATCACAGACAGTGTCACCAGCAAAGCACCCCCACACCATCACACCTCCATGCTTCACGGTGGGAACCACACATGCGTAGATCATCCGTTCACCTACTCTGCGTCTCACAAAGTCACGTCGGTTGGAACCAAAAATCTCAAATTTGGACTCATCAGACGAAAGGACAGATTTCCACCGGTCTAATGGTATTGCTTGTGTTTCTTGGCCCAAGCAAGCCTCTTCTTCTTATTACTGTCCTATAGTAGTGGTTTCTTTTCAGCAATTCGACCATGAAGGCCTGATTCACGCAGTCTCCTCTGAACAGTTGATGTTGGGATGTGTCTGTTACTTGAATTCTGTGAAGCATTTATTTGGGCTGCAATTTCTGAGGCCGGTAACTCTAATGAACTTATCCTCTGCAGCAGAGGTAACTCTGGGTCTTCCTTTCCTGTGGCGTTTCATCATAGCGCTTGATGTTTTTTTGCGACTGCACTTGAAGAAACTTTAAAAGTTATTGAAATATTCCAGATTTAAATAATGATGTACTGTCATTTCTCTTTGCTTATTTGAGCTGTTCTTGCCATAATATGGACTTCGTCTTTTACCAAATAGGGCTATCTTCTGTATACCACCCCTACCTTGTCACAACACAACTGATTGGCTCAAACGCATTAAGAAGGAAAGAAATTCCACAAAAGAACTTTTAACAAGGCACACCTGTTAATTGAAATGCATTCCAGGTGACTACCTCATGAAGCTGGTTGAGAGAATGCCAAGAGTGTGCAAAGCTGTCATCAAGCACATATTTGGGTCATCCACCAAAGATACAGTGAGGGAAAAAAGTATTTGATCCCCTGCTGATTTTGTACGTTTGCCCACTGACAAAGACATGATCAGTCTATCATTTTAATGGTAGGTTTATTTGAACAGTGGGAGACAGAATAACAACAAACAAATCCAGAAAAACGCATGTCAAAAATGTTATAAATTGATTTGCATTTTAATGAGGGAAATAAGTATTTGACCCCTCTGCACAACATGACTTAGTACTTGGTGGCAAAACCCTTGTTGGCAATCACAGAGGTCAGACGTTTCTTGTAGTTGGCCACCAGGTTTGCACACATCTCAGGAGGGATTTTGTCCCACTCCTTTTTGCAGATCTTCTCCAAGTCATTAAGGTTTCGAGCCTGATGTTTGGCAACTCGAACCTTCAGCTCCCTCCACAGATTTTCTATGGGATTAAGGTCTGGAGACTGGCTAGGCCACTCCAGGACCTTAATGTGCCTCTTCTTGAGCCACACCTTTGTTGCCTTGGCAATTTGTTTTGGGTCATTGTCATGCTGAAATACCCATCCACGACCCATTTTCAATGCCCTGGCTGAGGGAAGGAGGTTCTCACCCAAGATTTGACGGTACATGGCCCCGTCCATCGTCCCTTTGATGCGGTGAAGTTGTCCTGTCTCCTTAGCAGAAAAACACCCCCAAAGCATAATGTTTCCACCTCCATGTTTGACGGTGGGGATGGTGTTCTTGGGTCATAGGCAGCATTCCTCCTCCTCCAAACACGGCGAGTTGAGTTGATGCCAAAGAGCTCCATTTTGGTCTCATCTGACCACAACGCTTTCACCCAGTTCTCCTCTGAATCGTTCAGATGTTCATTGGCAAACTTCAGACGGCCCTGTATATGTGCTTTCTTGAGCAGGGGGACCTTGCGGGCGCTGCAGGATTTCAGTCCTTCACGGCGTAGTGTGTTACCAATTGTTTTCTTGGTGACTATGGTCCCAGCTGCCTTGAGATCATTGACAAGATCCTCCCGTGTAGTTCTGGGCTGATTCCTCACCGCTCTCATGATCATTGCAACTCCACGAGGTGAGATCTTGCATGGAGCCCCAGGCCCAGGGAGATTGACCGTTCTTTTGTGTTTCTTCCATTTGCAAATAATCGCACCAACTGTTGTCACCTTCTCACCAAGCTGCTTGGCGATGGCATACTTGGAGAGCTCTTGGCCATGGTAGAGAGTTTGGAATCTGATTGATTGATTGCTTCTGTGGACAGGTGTCTTTTATACAGGTAACGAACTGAGATTAGGAGCACTCCCTTTAAGAGTGTGCTCCTAATCTCAGCTCGTTACCTGTATAAAAGACACCTGGGAGCCAGAAATTTTTCTGATTGAGAGGGGGTCAAATACTTATTTCCCTCATTAAAATGCAAATCAATTTATAACACTTTTGACATGCGTTTTTCTGGATTTTGTTGTTGTTATTCTGTCTCTCACTGTTCAAATAAACCTACCATTAAAATGATAGACTGATCATTTCTTTGTCAGTGGGCAAACATACAAAATCAGCAGGGGATCAAATACTTTTTTCCTTCATTGTAGACCATTGAAATGCTTGTTGCCAGTTAAAGTAGCACTTCATTGTTAGAATCCGAACACCAGACAACGTAATTGGGGCACCTCACTTATGACATTACGTCATAACCACCTCATCTTGACTGAAGTACATTAATCTAGAAAACTAATTTTTCCACTATGACTTACAGAGCTTACAGATGAGCACATCCAAGAGCAAAGCACATCATTACAATATATAAAATATCCTTTGGAAGAACACCAAAGCTGTGTATAATCTTTTCATATTTCCTGAAGATTTAAGTCCTTCCTACAACTATTTGAAATATGTTGACTTTGCTAATTGACACTTCAAATTAGTATCTCTGTCTTTGTACATCGACACACTGCTAATCCTCATATATTGTATCAATTTGCCCTTAAAATACATTTAAATAAATAACAAAAACTATAAAGAAATGCTTGACCACTGTCAATGAAATGCACTCTGAATTTTTTTAAATAAACATCTTCCAGTTTGCCAGCCAAAGACTACCCTCCCATAGTAAATACTAGTTGAGCGCAAGCTTTCAACTGATCATCCTTGAGTGCTGTCAAAAACACCTGTCAAGGAAAGAGGGGCCCTAAAAATACAACTTCCAACAACAACAATTCCTAAACACTGCCTCGTCTCCACTTCAGAATGTAATTAAAACATTCTTGCAATGGAAGACGCCAGCTTTCAGCGTTGAATGGATTACAAAGGAATTGCTTTCTCAATGTTTACTTCTCGGGCACTGATGGCAACAATAGAATATATAGTGTTCAGCACTTAAATATCCAGCCCTTGAGTTAGGAGTGCAAAAGGACAAATGTGGTATGGGATAATTGACAGGGACAGACAGGTGCTGTGCGTTGTCCACGGGTGTCCCCCATGAACACTGAGAATTCCAATAAACCATTGTGCCGTGGGAGATTGCTCCTTAGTGAATATGTAGCCTTTTCCTCAAAAGGGGACAGCAAAATGTCAGAGTACAGGCCTTGGACTTGGCGACAGAGAATGGAAGGATTTCGAAAGTGTCCCTGCACTCCACAGCCTAAGACTCACCCCTGAAGATTGCCAGCCAGTACCTACAACTAAGAGTCACAGAATTATTAAGGCCAGTACGGAGCCTCATATTAAAATAGCAATAGCATCAGAACAAGCATCCTGTGCAACACAGATTTCAGTTTAAATGGGTTGAGAGAACATTTCAACCGTTTGTGGACTAAAGCCCTTCAGTCCTCCATACCTAACTATTTTCCAATTGACACATTTCAGTGAATAAAAGAGGAACCCTCCATCCCAAAGAAAAAATTTACCAAACTTCAACCCTGCTGATTGGTCAATTGTGAGTAGCAGGTGGTGGTCTGGTTTAAAAATCAAGCCTTTTGGTCACTGATGGCAAGGGACAACTGTCTCTATCAATAGGAGCAAGGAGAGGCACAATTGACCAGGACTAGGCTATAAATAGCCACACTACTGCCTCCCCACTCTTTAGTATTAAGACTAGTGAAATGTGTCTTTTAATTGACAGTATTGTTAGTTATGTGTTACAGTATTGTTGCTATTCAAATTAGGAGCTTAAAACAGATTATTATTATCTATTTTGTAAGGCACTCCAGAGTAGTTCTTTGCCAGCCTCTAATGAAATTATATTTGGAGATGGGAAGAAAATGTTTTTTTGAGCTCGTGTTTTAAATAGTTCCCATTTAAGATTGTTGCATAGATCTGTCAGACTTAAGCCAGTAATATTGCCACAAGCACATACGGTATACTATATACTACAGTTCCAACGGGTCAATGCAAAAAATCCTTTGCACTAGAAATGAAGGAAATGGTGCCCTCAAATGGTCAAACCATGTAGCTATTTAATACAAAAGGAATTGCTACATTCCAACATAATATTGTATGACATAATAATCCTACACAAATACAGTGATACTTAAACTTGCTTGAGGAATTTTTATCATTCAAATGATTAATGCTGTATCCTCTTATGCCTAATACAAACTCAGATGTCGAGGTACAGTTTTACCATTACAAACAAGTCTTTAACAAAACTGTCTGAAAATGTTAACATAAACAGTCAAGACCATAGAAAAACATATAACGCCCCATAGAAAAACATATAACGCCCCATAGAAATCACCTTCACACTTGTGTACTGTAGTGTGCTGTGGAATTCTAAACAGTTTAGATGCTAGTTAGAACATGTAAACATAGAAATTGCAAGAGCACAGAAAATACATGGCCCTGTTTTTAACATCGAGAAACCCCTCATGTTATCCAGTCAACATAAACCTTATCAAACTGCACCTTTCTGTTTCTCAACCTCAACGGACTCAGAAGCTGGAGAATCCTGGAGTTCTTTACGGCTTACCTTTCCTTGGTTTTGGCTGGTCTCTCCTCTACAAAAAAACAGTGCCATGGCTCTGCAGAAAAATACATAGTGCCTTCAGAAAGTATTCATACCCCTTGACTTATTCCACATTTTGTTTTGTTACAGCCTGAATTCAAAATGGATTCAATAGATTTTTGTATCACCCATCTATACACAATACCCCATTATGACAAATTGAAAACATATTAGTAGAAATTTTTGCAAATCTATTGAAAATGAAATACAGAAATCTCTCATTTAAATAAGTATTCACACCCCTGAATCAATACTTTGTAGAAGCACCTTTGGCAGCGATTACAGCCGTGAGTCTTTATGGTCTGCACAGCATGCTATCGACCCAGAGCATATGAGATTTTCTGCCGGAATCACTGGTCCTTAAAACCGGATCATCGCAACTAGCTAGCTGCAACCGAATGGCTGTTGTTGGCTAATCACCACTGTCCCGACACACCAGTTAGCCTTGAGCTAGCCTCGAGCCAGGCCCATCTCCCAGCTATCTACCTCTCTGTCAACCGGACGGGACCTCCTAGTGTCGACACAAAGCCCCGCCGATCCATCACGACTGGTCTGCCGACGTAATCGTCTGATGTGGTTTCATCAGGCTTCCCGTTGCGACGACCACGAAGATCCATCTGCTAGCCCCGGCCCGCTAGCACACGCAATCAACAGCCGTGCCTCCTGCTCGCCTGTGCTGTAGCAGCCTACAAACTGCTCCCGGACTCACCTATTGCTGTTCACTGGACCTTTATGATAACTCAGCTACACAGCTGATGCCTGCTGGACAGTTCCTTTACAAGATAGCCCATCCTGTTTATCTGTTTAGCCTCAGCCCAAACTTTCGTCGCCAATCTGCCTTGCCTATTGCTGTTTGGGTTAGTTCTTATTGTACAATTTCAATGTAGAACTCCCAGTCCCGCTCAACCTGCCTCAGACAGCTCCTTTGTCCCACACCCCACACACGCGGAGACCGGCTCAATCGGTGCCTCCAGTGATGCTCTCTTTCATCGTTACCAAATGCTTAGGTGTACCTCCACTGTACTCATATCCTTCCATATCCTTGTCTGTACATAATGCCCTGAATCTATTCTACAACTCCCGGAAATCTGCCCCTTTTCTTCTCTGTACCCAACGCACTAGAAGACCAGTTCTTAAAGCCTTTAGCCGTATCCTTATTCTATTCCTCCTCTGTTCCTCTGGTGATGTAGAGGTTAACCCAGGCCCTGTAGCCCCCAGTATCACTCCTAATCCCCAGGCACTATCATTTGTTGACTTCTGTAACCGTAAAAGCTTTGGTTTCTTGCAAGTTAACATCAGAAGCCTCCTCCCTAAGTTTGAGTTATTCACTGCGTTAGCACACTGCGTTAGCACACTCCTGATGTTCTGGCAGTGTCTGAATCCTGGCTTAGGAAGGCCACCAATAATTCAGACATTTCCATCCCGGACTACAACATTTTTCATCTAGATAGAACTGCCAAAGGGGGCGGAGTTGCAATCTACTGTAGAGATAGCCTGCAGAGCTCTATCATACTATCCAGGTCTGTGCCCAAACAGAGCTTCTACTTCTAAAAATCCACCTTTCCAGAAATAAGTCTCTCACTGTTGCCGCTTGCTACAGACCCCCCTCAGCCCCGAGCTGTGCCCTGGACACCATATGTGAATTGCTTGCCCCCCATCTATCCTCAGAGTTCGTACTGCTTGGTGACCTAAACTGGGATATGCTAAACACCCCAGCCGTCCTACAATTTAAACTAGATGCCCGCAATCTCACACAAATTATCAAGGAACCTACCAGGTACAACCCTAAATCCGTAAAATGGGCACCCTCATAGATATCATCCTGACTAATTTACCCTCTAAATACACCTCCGCTGTCTTCAACCAGGATCTCAACGATCATTGCCTCATTGCCTGTGTCCGTAATGGGTCCGCGGTCAAACGACCACCCCTCATCACTGTCAAACGCTCCCTAAAACACTTCAGCGAGCAGGCCTTTGTAATTGACCTGGCCCAGGTATCCTGGATGGATATTGACCTCATTCCGTCAGTAGAGGATGCCTGGATGTTCTTTAAAAGTGCTTTCCTCTCCATCTTAAATAAGCATGCCCCATTCAAAAAAGTCAGAACTAAGAACAGATATAGCCCCTGGTTCACCCCAGACTTGACTGCCCTTGACCAGCACAAAAACATCCTGTGGCGTACTGCATTAGCATCAAACAGCCCCCGCGATATGCAACTTTTCAGGGAAGTCAGGAACCAATATACACAATCAGTTAGGAAAACAAAGGCTATCTTTTTCAAACAGAAATGTGCATTCTGTAGCACTAACTCCAAAAGGTTTTGGGACACTGTAAAGTCCATGGAGAATAAGAGCACCTCCTCCCAGCTGCCCACTGCACTGAGGCTAGGAAACACTGTAACCACCGATAAATCTACGATAATCGAGAATTTCAATAAGCATTTTGCTACGGCTGGCCATGCTTTCCACCTGGCTACCCCTACCCCGGCCACCAGCTCTGCACTCTCCAAAGCAACTTGCCACTGCACTCTCCACTGCAACTTGCCAATGTGTCAAATCGGAGGGCCTGTTGTCTGGACCTCTGGCAGTCTCTATGGGAGTGCCACAGGGTTCAATTCTCGGGCCGACTCTATTCTCTGTGTATATCAATGATGTCGCTCTTGCTGCTGGTGACTCTCAGATCCACCTCTACGCAGACGACACCATTTTGTATACATCTGGCCCTTCATTAGACACTGTGTTAACAAACCTCCAAACAAGCTTCAATGCCATACAACACTCCTTCCGTAGCCTCCAACTGCTCTTAAACGCTAGTAAAACTAAATGCATGCTCTTCAATCGAACGCTGCTTGCACCCGCCCGCCCGACTAGAATCACTACTCTCGGCGGGTCTGACTTAGAATATGTGGACAACTACAAATACCTAGGTGTCTGGTTAGACCGTAAACTCTCTTTCCAGACTCACATTAAGCATCTCCAATCCAAAGTTAAATCTAGAATCGACTTCCTATTTCGCAACAAAGCCTCCTTCACTCATGCTGCTAAACATGCCCTCGTAAAACTGACTATCCTACCGACCCTTGACTTCGGCGATGTCATTTACAAAATACATTACAACACTCTACTCAGCAAATTGGATGTAGTCTATCACAGTGCCATCCGTTATGTCACCAAAGCCCCATATACTACCCACCATTGTGACCTGTACGCTCTCGTTGGCTGGCCCTCACTACATATTAGTCGCCAAACCCACTGGCTCCAGGTCATCTATAAATCACTTCTAGGCAAATCCCCGCCTTATCTTAGCTCATTGGTCACCATAGCAACACCCACCCGTGGTATGCGTTCCATCAGGTATATCTCACTGGTCATCCCCAAAGCCAACACCTCCTTTGGCCGCCATTCCTTCCAGTTCTCTGCTGCAAATGACTGGAACGAACTGCAAAAATCTCTGAAGCTGGAGACTCTTATCTCCCTCACTAACTTTAAGCATCAGTTGTCAGAGCAGCTTAGCGATCACTGCACCTGTACACAGCCCATCTGTAATTAGCCCACCCAACTACCTCATCCCCATATTGTTATTTACATTGTTATTTATTTTGCTCATTTGCACCCCAGTATCTCTATTTGCACATCATCTTCTGCAGATCTATCACTCCAGTGTTAACACTAAATTGTAATTATTTTGCACTATGGCCTATTTATTGCCTTACCTCCATAACTTACTACATTTGCACACACTGTATATAGATTTTCTATTGTGTTATTGACTGTACGTTTTTGTTTATTCCATATGTAACTGTGTTGTTGTTGTTTTTAATCGCACTGCTTTGCTTTATCTTGGCCAGGTCGCAGTTGTAAATGAGAACTTATTCTCAACTGGCTTACCTGGTTAAATAAAGGTGAAATAAAAATAAAATAAAAAAAATGGGTTCATTTGTCCATCATTTTTTTCAAAATTCTTCAAGCTCTGTCAAATTGGCTGTTGATCATTGCTAGTCAAAACTGTAACCCGGCCACATTCACTGTCTTCTTGGTAATCAACTCCAGTGTAGATTTGGCCTTGGGTTTTAGGTTACTGTCCTGCTGAAAGGTGAACTCATCTCCCAGTGTTTGGTGAAAAGTAGACTGAACCAGGTTTTCCTTTAGGATTGTGCCTGTGATTAGCTCCATTCCGTTTTTTTGTTTTGTTGAAAAACTCCCCAGTCCTTAACGATTACAAACATACCCATAACATGATGCAGCCACTACTATGCTTGAAAATATGGAGAGTGATACTCAGTAATGTGTTGTATTGGATTTGACCCAAACATAACACTTTGTATTTTTGTAGTATTACTTTAGTGCCTTGTTGCAAACAGGATGCATTTATTCTATGCAGGCTTTCTTATTTTCACTCTGTCAATTAGATTAGTATTGTGGAGTAACTACAATGTTGTTCATCCATCCTCATTTTCTCCCATCACAGCAATTAAACTGTAACTGTTTTAAAGTCACGATTGGCATGGTGAAATCCCTGAGCAGAGTCCTTCCTCTCTGGCAACTGAGTTAGGAAGGACACCCACACCTTTGTAGTGACTGGGTGTATTCATACAGTGTAATTAATAACCACCATGCTCAAAGGGATATTCAATGTCTGCTTTTTTGAATACTTTCTGAAGGCACTGTAAATATAATTTTAGACACAGCAGCAGCACATAATGATACTTGTCAATAAAGGTGTGTGTACACTGTTTGTCCTGAAGTTGTACAATGTTACCTCTCTCTCAGGGGTCCTCTGGAAAATAATAGCCAGAGAGATACAGCTACAACGCAGAGGAGGAGGAGGAGGAGGATGGGGAGGAAAACCCACAAGGCTACTGGTGCAATGGAGCGCTGATCAACTGCAAATAGGAAAAACTGAACCTTTACTTTCCAACAATCTACCCTTTCTTAAATATTATAAGTAACAATAATGGAACATACCTTTGTGTTGAAAACAGAGCTGGGGATATACACTGAGTGTACAAAACATTAGGAACACCTGCTCTTTCCATTACATAGACTAACCAGGTGAAAGCTATGATCCCTTATTGATGTCACTTGTTAAATCCACTTAAATCAGTGTAGATGAAGGGGAGGAGACAGGTTAAAGAAGGAATTTCTAAGCCTTGAGACAATTGGGACATGGATTGTGTATGTGTGCCATTCAGAGGGTGAATGGGCAAGACAAAATATTTAAGTAACTTTAAAACGGGATATGGTAGTAGCTGCCAGGCGCACCGGTTTGAGTGTGTCAAGAACTGCAATGCTGCTGGGTTTTTCACGCTCAACAGTTTCCCATGTGCACCAAGAATGGTCCACCACCCAAAGGACATCCAGCCAACTTGACACAACTGTGGGAAGCATTGGAGTCAACATGAGCCAGCATCCCTGTGGAATGCTTTCGACACCTTGTAGAGTCCATGCCCTGACAAATTGAGGGCAAAATGGGGTGCAAAATGGGGTGCAACTCAATATTAAGGAGGTGTTCCTAATGTTTTGTACAGTCAGTGTATGTTCAAGTTCTGTAGAATGTACGACTCAAATTAATTAATTCAATGTCAAGATGGCTACCTACATCATTACCTTTATGCACATACAGGAAACCAGATGCTGCTCCGTATGGGTTGGACACCTCACAGCTGTACAGACCACTGAAGTCAGAGCCCACCTTCTCTAACTCCAACAAGCCCCCAGTCTCGCTGAGATTTGATCTATTCAGTCTATAAGACAAATGTAGACACATAGCAAAACATAGACGTAGACAATGATTCTTAGAAAATGGGTTGGGGGAAATTAAATACTCATCATTAACAAGAATGTGAACAACTGACCTCTTCCATGTGAACTCTGTTGGAGTGGGGTTGGCATCTACTACACACTGAAACGCCAGTACCTGGGGTGCTCTCTCATGAAGGATGAATTTGACCGAATTTGGAGGATCTGTAGAATTGGCAAAAAGTTGTACCACAATATTTATGTGCTGTTACTGTTGTGTCTAATATTGAGTAAAAGCACTGTGGCTGTTGTCATTGAGAATACTCACAGTGTACATCTAGCTCATAGGGAATGACCCTCTGCTGGCTCAGAGTGGTGTGGTTTACCAGGCACTGAACCTCCTGTTGGTGCATGACTCTGGAGGGCTCTCCCTTCAGATGGACCCTCACCGTGGTGGTGTCGTCTGGGTTCAGGTGTAGTGTTGGTTGAGGTTGTCAGACTCAGTGGTAGTCTTGCACTGGCCGTGCTCCACTGTTACCTCTGCAGGGGGCTTGGCGTTAGCCGCTGTGCATGTGGCCAAGATGCTCTCCTGCCCCTCAGCAACCACGGGTGGAGTCTCCACAGCAACCGAAATCACAGGAGGAACTATTGGGAAAAAACACAATAAACACATTGACTTAATATGAATGTATGTCTTTATATACTTTAAAACCTAACCCTTGGATAGCAGGTAAAGGAACACCCTTAACATAATTGTATCAAACTACTCATTCCATTGGGGAAACACATCATAAATAACCTCTTACTTTGGACATTGAGGTGGATCTCTGTCATGTATGGCCCACTGGGGAACACAGTGAAGATGCAGGTGTAGACACCCTCATCAGTCAGGGACACATCCCCCAGTCGGATAGAGCCCACCAGTGCTGTGGTGTTCCCAATGAAGCCCACCCTGTCCCCCCGCCCTTTGACATGTGATGGACCATAGGTTGGGGTGATGATGAAGAAGTTGTGGTTGGCACGGTAACCCCTGGTACTCTTCTGCCATGAGATCTGGATGAGCTCCTCGTCTGTCTCTATGAGCTCACAGGTCAAGTCTGCGTGTTGTCCTTGAGTCACTGTTGGGCGGCCATTGTAAGAGATGACTTAGCAAGATGCATATGAGAGCAAATTCTCAGACTCTTCTTGATATTGTGGAGAACAAATGTTATGGGTTTGCTTTGCATCGCTCCAACACTCACCAACTCCAGTCTGAGTCAGCATGAGAAAGATGCCCACCAGAACCCACAAATATGTTTGATTCTTCATTGGTAGGCTATCTCGTGTATGACAACTTCAAGTAAACTTTCTAATCTGGGGGGGGAACACAGTTTAGGCCTATGCATAAGCAAAATTAGAATGAAACAAGCCTGAGATGTAGACCAAGGGGCAAGATTACAACACCAGTAACCTAAATATGGGTCAAGGGGCGGAATCGGACAAGAAATCAGCCCTGGCATAACAAGCCTACACATTTTTTTTCTTGAGGCCCCCATTATTAGCCAGATACTGAGAATGTTAACATGCATGCTAATAATTCAATGTTAAACTGATTATGCACTCACTAACTGTAAGTCGCTCTGGATAAGAGCGTCTGCTAAATGACTAAAATGTAAAATTATGACAATAGGCCGAGTTAATCATTAGTCATGTAAACACCTTACTCTGATTATCTTGAATCGGCGTAGGGTCATAATCAAAGTAAGCATATGCCTAGATTTCTGAGCAATCTTTCCAATTATTAGGACATGTACAGTCCATTCGGAAAGTATTCAGACCCTTCTTCCACATTTTGTTATGTTACAGCCTTATTCTAAAATAGATTATTTATTTTTTTCCTCATCAATCTACACACAATACCCCATAATGACAAAGCGAAAACAGGATTTTAGAAATTTCAGCAAATGTATTAACATTTAAAAACAGAAATACCTTATTTACATAAGTATTCAGACCTTTGCTATGAGACTCGAAATTAAGCTCAGGTGCATCCTGTTTCCATTGATCATCCTTGAGATGTTTCTACAACTTGATTGGAGTCCACCTGTGGTAAATTCAATTGATTTGACATGATTTGGAAAGGCACACACCTGTCTATATAAGGTCCCACAGTTGACAGTGCATGTCAGTGCAGAAAAACAAGCCATGAGGTCGAAGGAATTGCCGTAGAGCTCCGAGACTGGATTGTGTCAAGGCACAGATCTGGGGAAGGGTGCCAAAAAATCTCTGTAGCATTGAAGGTCCCCAAGAACACAGTGGCCTCCATCATTCTTAAATGGAAGATGTTTAGAACCACCAAGACTCTTCCTAGAGCTGGCCACCTTGGTCAGGGAGGTGACAAAGAACATGATGGTCACTCTGACAGAGCTCCAGAGTTCCTCTGTGGAGATGGGAGAACCTTCCAGAAGGACAACCACTCCACCAAATCAGGCCTTTATGGTAGAGTGGCCAGATGGAAGCCACCCCTCAGTAAAAGGCACATGACAACACACTTGGAGTTTACCAAATGGCACCTAAAGGACTCTCAGACCATGAGAAACAAGATTCTCTGTTCTGATGAAACCAAGATGGAACTCTTTGGCCTGAATGCCAAGTGTCACCATGCTGTCGGGATGTTTTTCAGCGGCAGGGACTAGGAGACTAGCCATGATCGAGGGAAAGATGAACGGAGCAAAGTACAGAGAGATCCTTGATGAAAACCTGCTCCAGAGCGCTCAGGACCTCAGACTGGGGTGAAGGTTCACCTTCTAACAGGACAATGACCCTAAGCACACAGCCAAGACAACGCAGGAGTGGCTTCGGGACAAGTCTCTGAACGTCCTTGAGTGGCCCAGCCAGAGCCCGGACTTGAACCCGATCGAACATCTCTGGAGAGACCTGAAAATAGCTGTGCAGCGACGCTCCCCATCCAACCGTACAGTGCCAGAGAGGATCTGCAGAGAAGAATGGGAGAAACTCCCCAAATACAGGTGTGCCAAGCTTGTAGCATCATACCCAAGAAGACTCGAGGCTGTAATCTCTGTCAAACGTGCTTCAACAAAGTACTGAGAAAAGGGGCTGAATACTTATGGAAATGTCATATCTGTTTTTTATTTTTTATAAAAGTGCCAAAAATGTCTACAAACCTGTTTTTGCTTTGTCATTATGGGGTATTGTGTGTAGATTGATGTGGGGAAAAAACAATTGAATCCATTTTAGAATAAGGCTGTAACGTAACAAAATGTGGAGAAAGTCAAGGGGTCCGAATACTTTTCGAATGCACTGTAAACACCTTAATGGGAGTTCCAGCAGAGTATTGGATCTGTGCATGTGCTAGCACCAGCTTACCTCTTTTGCGCGAGTGAAGTCAGTTCGGAAAAACTTAAAAGTATGCACACATTTTATGTCCAAACTCAGAATCAAATAACCTTCCCAAAAATAACATGGTTGCTGTGATAGAATCTTTATTTTGATTGCAGATTTTCAGCATTTATCAAAGTCCCACCAGGTAGGCTGATTTTAGATGTGTCCATATTAACAGGATTATTAGGGAAATTGTTCTTCTTGCAAAGCATGTAAACTTTTTAATCGAACTAATATATTAATCTGAGTATAATAATTGTATTATTGTGTGCATGTAAATGTGCTCAATGATAATTTTGCACACAAAAAACAAGTTAGCCTACTGGGCTAAAAATGGACCAGCTCATCTGGCATTTGCCCGAAATGCCAAATGGCCGATCCCTCCCTTAGGTCTACTGGGAGAAGATTTAATTAAGTTCTGGAATTTTACCGCAACTTCCGCTCACCATTGCTGTTAGCCTAGCCTACATTTTACCTTCAGTCAGAGCCGCAGCTATTGGTCTACTACAGGGTTCCCCAAATTGCAACATGCAGGCCGATTTTTAATTGTTGGACATAACAGACTAAAAACACCAGGAAATCAGCTGCAAGTTATTTTAATTTTGAAAATCTGTTCCCAAGTATTCCCACGCATAATGGAGAGACGTGATCGTATACAAATGTAAGCAAGTCTGAAATTATTATGTTTTAGTCAAATATTATATCTGTTTGGGATACTTGCGGTCAATTTGCAGTCTACAAATTAATTGTAATTATGTTACGGCCCCGCGACCATGCTCAAGAAAAAACTGAACAAAAATGTCAAAGATTTTACTGAGTTACAGTTCATATAAGGAAATCTGTCAATTGAAATAAATGAATTAGGTACTAATCTATGGATTTCACATGACTGGGAATACAAATATGGATATGTTGGTCACAGATACCTTAGATAAATAAGGTAGGGGTGTGGTTCAGAAAACCAGTCAGTATTTGGTGTGACCACCATTTGCATCATGCAGCGCGACACTCCTTGATCAAGCTGTTGATTGTGGCCTGTGGAATGTTGTCCCAATGCTCTTCAATGGCTGGATATTGGCGGGAACTGGAACACGCTGTCATACACGTCGATCCAGCGCATCCCAAACATTCTCAATGGGTGACATGTCTAGTGAGTATGCTGGCCATGGAAGAACTGGGAAATGTTCAGCTTCCAGGAATTGTGTACAGATCCTTTCGACATAGGGCCGTGCATTATCATGCTGAAACATGAGGTGATGGTGGCGGATGAATGGCATGACAACGGGCTTCTGGATTTCGTCACATTATCTCTGTGCATTCAAATTGCCATAGATAAAATGCTGTTTTTCCTATAACCAGAGAAAGTTAAATAGTCCTCGATATTAAAAAAGACTCAAGCCGCTAATAATAACAATGCAAGCTTATGGAAACACCGCTATACTCATTCATTGCAGCTGGTTGTAGCGTGAGTGGACGTAGGGAGAACGACTAGTTACCGGAGTGTAACTCCAGTTCTATGAGTGGAGCGGAGCCCCATAGGGGAGCTCTGCTCCTAGTGGTTTACCCTCTGCCCTACGGCAGAAACAGCCTGAAGCAAAATTATGCACACACCTGTCAGCCAATGGGAGCACAGGTGCCCCTATATAAAGGGACCCGTTCCCTCAATCTGCCTCCCGAGATATTATCTTCAGCGAGACTAGAGAGGGTCGGCAGGGCCTTAAGTCCTATGGGGCTCCGCTCCACTCATAGAACTGGAGTTACACTCCGGTAACTAGTCGTTCTATATCGTGGAGCTCCGCCCCATAGGGGAGCTCTGCTCCTAGTGGTTTAAGGCGGAGCGAAACGCTCCAAAATGTACTCCCTGCCGAGCCTAACACTTCCCATTAAAAAATGAAAAAAGGTCAAGCCCAGCAATGGCTGCAACCAATTCCCGCAGTACTGTGACTAAAAACCCCATCCGGGCGTCACAATATACCGCGTCATCGGTTATAGACCCGCCCTATCTAGCTCAATGGCAATGCCAATGGCTAGTGGGCAGATCATCAGAATAGAAGCCATGCTAATCTGTACTAGCAGATAGCCGTGCCTCAATATTCTGAGACAACACTATCGTCCACTAATGGAATGACATAAAATGTCACTCTACATTATGTGTCCAATAGACCGCCTTACTCACTCAATGGAACCCAGAGATTAGTAGGCAGGAACAAAATATACCAGTCATACTAAACTGAACCATCAGATAGATGACCTCACATTCTGTCCACTCAATACATGTCTCTACCATACTGACACTGTCAGTCAGGAGACATGCCACCAGATATGCTTTTCATCCAAAGCGGACCTGATAGAAACCTGTCTATCGTCCTGCTTCTCTCTCCTCCAGCTCAAGATTCTCCTTCAGCTGTGCTGAGTGCAATCGAGCTTGAGAGTTAAAAAGCTTATCCTTGATATAACAAGTTCTCCTAACCAAAGCGGACCTGATTGGAACCTGTCCAAGGTCCTGCTTTGTCCTCTCTTTCTAGCTCAAAATCGCCTTTCAGCTCTGCTGAATGCCGACCGAACTAAAGAGTTAGAAAACATGTCCATCCATAATATGTTTCTTCTAATAAAAGCGGACTTATGAGCATGGTCACAATCCTGCTTTCTTTCTCTGTTTTTTCTCAAGATCTCCCTTCAGCCACGCTGAGTACAGACCGAGCCAAAGAGTTAGAAGACATATCCAACAGATAGAAACGGATAAAAGGAGACGGTGTCGACCATGACGCTGCTCTACAAATATCCTCTACCTCTGTTCCTCTGAAGAGGGCAGTAGAAGCTGCTACTCCACGAGTGGAGTGCGCTCTAATACCCTGAGGCGGTTGTTGCCCCGCCGCCTCGTACGCCGTCTCAATACCTTCACAAAGCCAATGAGACAATCGCTGTTT